TAAGCCCACCCCTGAGACCCCAGGGCGTCCGTGGCAAAACCCTCGAAACCCAGGAAAGCCAGGGCACCCTGGGAGCAAGCAGGGTGCTTCTTGGCATGGGCCCCCACTGTACAGAGAAATGGGTCCATGCCCAGCAACAAGTGCTGTCCAAAACCGCAGCGGCCGCTGTTGGGCGGGCGGCTTGCTATATTCAATGAACAACGTCCGCGGCGGCGGCGGGACAGCGAGTCCTCTTCATAGCGAGCAACTGTTTGGCACCGTACCCGTCCTTTCCGTACCCATTTCGATCGTCACGCGGCGGACGGGCCCGGCGTGGAGCCCACTCGGCCGTCGAACGGCCGAGACTCCCACCGGCATTTCCCTAAGGGCGGACTTGATATGAAAACTCGAGAATAATCCAAAATACACCAAAATAGTAAAACAAATCATCGAAAACCGTCCCCAGGCCATTTTTTGACTATTCTTGGGTACTCCTCCCGTAGAGTCTGGACCTGAGCCCGCTCGGCTGCCCAGCTGGCGGCCTCCCGCGGAGCTGCCGACGGCCCCGGGCGCCTGCCAGGAAACGACCTCCGAAGCCGCGGGCGGGCCTCTGGCCCGCGGGGGCCTCCCGGCCGCGGGGCGGGGCGCCCCCGATGCCCAGGGGACGCCCGGAGGCCTCCAGAGGCCCGGGGCGAGCCAAGCCTCGGGGGAGGGCGGCGTCGGAGGACGGACGAAGCAGCAGCGAAGCGTTTTCGGCCTCAGCACGGTCGGCGGAGGTTCGGCCAGCGGCCACGGTGGAGGTATGTGCGGGGATGCCGTTTGGTCGGCTACGGTGCCGCTGCCTGCGGGACCCGCCCGGCCAGGCACGCGCTGGCGACCGATCACACGGGCTTCCGCAGCCATGTCGAAGAGGTCCGCAGGCCTCGTCTCAACATCCGCTGGATCAGCTTTTCCAGAACCTGGTCTTCCAGTAAAGTCCAAACCTCAATCCCCGATCCTCCTCAGGAGCAGCCGTCTTCAGCATCTCCTCAAGATCCTGTCACCGTCGGCCCCTGGCCCGACCCCTGGGTCCCTTGAGGCCGTTTCCCCGGTGGTCCCGCGGCGAGAAACAGGTACCTGAAGGCTGAGAGTGATGCAAGACCTCCCTGTGTTAGGAGGTAACTGCTGGGAGGTCTGCGTAAGAACGAGAAAGGAATATCAAGCCCGATTGGAAGGGCCATTAAGCTGGATCTGCCCAGAATAAGCCGGGGATTCACACAAACTGAGCGTGACTGAGCCAAATATGCAAATGGATTGCACAGGTTGATGCCAGATTTGGCTTGTTTCGACCACGGATATACCAGCGCCGATACCAATTCCAATCTCCCAGGAGCTGGCCATCGCTCGGACGTCCATTTCCTTTGTTTTTTTTCGAGTTCGTGCGTGGCTTCTCCGCGAAATGATCAAGGATGCGCCTCGATCGCTCTCGCCGAGAAAAAATGCACACGTCCGAGCGATGCCAGGAACCTGGGGAGCGATCTGGGCCCCCTCCTCGCCAGGGTGACCTCAGCTTCTCCTCCTGCTCCTGCAGGCACGCGTGGATGTCCGAGGAGTCCTGCGCACCAGCGGCCGGCGGCCAACGCTGGCCACCCCCCTCCCCCCTCCTCCCCCCTCCTCCTCCCTCCTCCCCCCCTCCTCCCCCTCCCCCTCCCCTCCCTCCTCCCCCCTCCTCCCCCCTCTCCCCCCCTCCTCCCCCCTCCTCCCCCCTCCCCGCCTGGTCCAGTCGTGCACATTCTGGGAATGCGAATTTGGGTGCCGACCCCCCCCCTGAATCTGGAGAGGGGCCAAACCGCTCAACCCTCGCCATCGCTCGGACGTCCATTCCTCGTGTATGTTTCGATTTCGCGCGTGTTTTTTTTTCGCCAAATGATCGAGGATGCTCCTCGATGGTCCTCGCCGAATGAAAAAATGCACACGTCCGAGCGATGCCAAGATTCTGGGAATGCGAATGTGGGTGCCGACCCCCCCCTGAATCTGGAGAGGGGCCAAACCGCTCAACCCGGAGCGGGCGAACTCTGCAAATGTGTGAAATGTGTCGATTACGGCGCTGAATGTCTCGCCGTCTCGGGTCCCTTCTGGGGGCCGCACCAAACCCACAGATTGCTATATTATGTTGATTCCGGACGTGTACCCGACGCACTGAAAATCCAGAGATTGCAAATTAATCTGCGTACGTGAAACGGGGCCACGGGATCCGAATCGCCAGGGGGGCGGCTATCATCCACACATTGAAGGACATTCTGTGGATCCACGACGGAGTCCCAATCTACAGATTACCAGAAATTCTGTGGATTTACGACGCGTGCACGACGCAGGCCTGATCCACAGAATTTCAGAATCTGTGGATTTGGAACAGGTCGGGGCCTGAGGGGAAGCGAATGACGAGGGCGCCCACAACGCGCAGAATGGCATAATCTGCGTCCAAGATGGCGCTTGTTTTGCGGCTCTCCAGAATGACAAGATTTCAGGCCCCCACCGGCATCCAAATGCAAATGTGAATCGGATCACCGAAGAAATCAGAACAGCAGATTACATACAGGGCAAGAAACTGGGCATCGAGTCCCTTTTCAAGCTGTCAGGCAGTTCCCTCTGCTCCTTGTGGAGTGGGATAGCGGGATCCGATGCAGGGGGATGGGATGCGAGGGGGTCAAGACGCTCAACGCGCAGATCTGGGACCCTGCCGCCCGCATTTGCCGGGGGAGGGGGGGAGGGGGGGGGAGCGGGACAGATACGGCGGCCCCTTCCTTCCTTCCTCCTCCTCCTCCTCCTCCTCCCTCCTCCTCCTCCCCTCCTCCTCCTCCTCCTCCTCCCTCCTCCCCCTCCTCCCTCCTCCCTCCTCCCTCCTCCTTCTCCTCTCTCCTCCCTCCTCCTCCTCCTCCTCTCTTCCTCCTCCTCCTCCTCCTCCTCCTCCTCCTCCTCCCTCCTCGCCCTCCTCCTCCTCCTCCTCCTCCTCCCTCCTCCCTCCTCCCTCGTCCCTCCTTCCAGCATTCCTCCTCCCTCCCAGGGAGGATCCGAGGAGATGCGGCAGCCTCCAGGGGAGGCTCGGAGGACGACGCCCGAGGTGTTTTTGGATAGATGCGGGGCGCTCACAGGGTTTAGGGTGTCCGAGGGGGGTCAGGACTGGGGAGGATGAGGAAGGAGGAGAGTGAGGATTGCCCTGTGTCGCCTTTCCTTGCGGGGGCTATTGCTTTGGAGGAATGTGTATCATGTGCCGGACGGCTGATTGAGCCTGGTTCACGTACCAAGCGCAGGAGACTTTAGATCCAGCGTTAGATCCAGCTTTGCCGTATTCATCTGCCAGCGCCTGAGGCGCTTTGGGCTGTGCCGAAAGAAAGAAAGGAACGAGGATAATGAGGGAGGATGAACTGGCCATCGCTCGGACGTCAATTCCCTGTGTTTTTTTGTCGGTTTCGTGCGCGGTTGCTTCGCCAAATGATCGAGGATGCTCCTCGATGGTCCCCGCCGAAGGAAAAATGCACACGTCCGAGAGATGCCAAATGAAATGCGGATGCGGCCGCAAGAAACCCTCACCAGAGATCCAGCCGTGAAAACCCGCGCGCGAGATGCACCTAGTGGGAACTCAGAGCACCCTGAACGCGGCAACTTCTTCATCGGCCGCGGGAAGTCAACGCACAGCGCGCGGATCGACGAAACCCAGGGTACCCGTACCCTGGCGGAAAAAAAACATGGTGTCTCGATGCGCGTCCCCATTGTATGCATCCGGATTCGCAGCGATTGCGAAGCAGCGGTGGGGAGTCGGGGAAGAACGAGGGACGGATGAGCGGGGTGAGGAGTAGGGCCAGGGGGAGCTTCTCATGATCCTCCTCGACACTGTTCACCTCCTCCCTCCCCGCTGCCTCCATACTGGCACCATCCTCCACCCCTCCCCTTATCCGTCCTCCCCTGCTCGCCTTCTGGTCCTCTCCCCCTCCTGCCTCTCCCTCCTCCCCGTCCACCCCTCCCTGGCCCCTCCGGGCTCACTTCCACAAGCGCAAGCCGTCCGGGCCTAGCATATACGAGCCGCGTGTTAGCCTGCACCGTTCTCTCCGAGGTACAGATGCAGACATGTTGCTCGGGCACGCCGTCTGGCAGGTTCGGGAACGTGGGCGTGATGGGTGGGCTGAACCTAAAAGTGGCCCTGGTGAAAAATGACTTTTGGTGCGCAATCTTCGGGGGCCGCACAGCAACCGAAATGGAACGCGCAAACCGCTGCCATCGCATAGCATTCATCCATCTGGGGGCGCCAGCGTGCCTATAGCAAAGGTCTCTCCGGGCCAAAGCCACTCATGCGTATAGCCGAACGTGGTGGTGCTAGGAGGCCGGGGAGTTGCTTCGGTGGTGGCCAAATTCTGCCCCCCCTCGATCAACATGCAAACGCAGCAGAACTACCCGTGGCGATTATTGCCAGGGGTGGCGTGTGAAACGTGAATGCCGCCAAACACTCGCGCAGCGACTCCGAAAAGCAAGGGCGAGGAGGAGGAGGAGGAGGAGGAGGAGGGAGAGGAAGGGTGGCGGCACAGCGTTGCGACACTCCTGCCGCATAGTGCAAGGCGGCGGCCTGAACCAATCGTAGAAACCAACACCTAACTTCTAAATGCGCCCTCACTGCACAATCTGGAAACGGCGACTCTGGGCCGTCCCCAAGCGGAAGCGTGGCAGGGCTGGCGAAAAGGATAGCCCATGCGCCGCGCCAGCGGCCACACAGCGGAGGAAGCAGGAGGGAAAAGGGGAGAAGAGGAGGAAAGAGCAGGCAGACAAAAACGGACCAGCGTCACTCAAGCATCGACGCGACGCGCTGTGGTCTTCGACTGCGAGCCTGCAGTGTGGCATCATTTCTTGCGCAGCGTGTTCGGGAGTGGTGTCCGCAATTCCTCCGAATCTTCTCCCGTTCGTCGTCATGTAGATCCCATACACCCATACACCAAGACAGGCCAACACGTCAATTCTGGATCGCTCGTGCCTCAGAGGAAGCTCCGACCACAATTACGTTGTGGGCGTCCGCATGCGGTCACCTCAACAATGACGATGCCATCCTCGCACAATCGCTCAGGTCGTGCCATGGGCCTCGGGCTACTTTAACCACGGCTGACAATGAGGGCGTCCACATGCGGTCGCCTCGCATGTTTCGACACACCACTCACACGGATCGATTGCAGTTCCAATGAGGGCGTCCGCGCGCAGTCAACGGTTAACATCCTGCGCGGAACGCGACCCACAGAGAGCTCCACCTGCAGTTCCGGTGAGAGCGCTCGCGCGACGTCCCCTCGCCCAGTCCGCCGCATTGCTCGCGCGCGTCGCGCTGATCTCCAGCCACAAATCTGATGAAATCTGCTTCATGCGGTCTCCTTGCCCGTATCCGTCATACGGTTCGAGGGGGAGGAGGAGGGGGAGGAGGAGGAGGAGAAGGGGGAGGAGGAGGAGGTGGAGGAGGAGGATGAGGAGGAGGAGGAGGAGGAGGAGGCGCCCCATGTGATGGAACGTCGACTACATGTTCCAGCGAAGGTCTCCGCTTGCGCCCCTCCCACCCGTCTCGCCGCCACCTCACGGGGATATCATGCCCCACGGGGGGCTCCAGCTCCGGGGGCACGAGGGGAGCCGACCTCGCCTGTGGAACGACTCCTGCTCTGCATCCTGCGTGTGTGGCCCCCTCCTCCCTCCTCCCTCGCCCGTCCTCCTCCTAGCTCCTCCTCCTCCTCCTCCTCCTCCTCCTCTCCTCCTCCTCCTCCTCCTCCTCCTCCTCCTCCTCCTCGCCCTCCTCCTCCTCCTCCTCCTCCTCCTCCTCCTCCCATCTACTCCTCTACCGCCGCGCACGCTACCGCGCGCGCCATCTCACTTTTCCAACGATATCCGCTGTTTAAGGCAGCTGGCCTCCCCCAACGAGAGATCAACCCCACGGCGAATTGCGTGCGCATTCAGCGAGGCGCATTGCCACACTGTGGAGAGGCATGGGACGGCAGAATGAGCGCGTGCAGCAAAGAGACGCCAGCTCTGGCGAAGAATCCTGAAAATCCGCGACCCTGACTGAGAAGGCCGTTCGGTATCATTCCACTCCCCTACAACTGCATCTCCGCTGCTCATGTTCCTTCGCCTACGCCTCCTCCTTCTCCCACACACTTCTTCTCCATGCTCCACCTCCTGCCCCTCCCCTGATACGCACGATAACATACTAGTAATATGTGTCGTCCTTGGAGGCGCGTGCAAGCTTACCCGCCTCCAAGCGACGCAAAGAGGCGGGCTGCTCTTCCTCAGTCTTGTGCGTAACACAGACTTGGCCCTGAGCGATCCATTTGGCTTGGCCGTTCGGAAGCCAAACAGGAGAAGCTCCTGTTTGGCTTCCGAACGGCCCTGGCATGGCCCTCAGTGTCGCAGAGCACACCAAAACGATACACATATACATATATATATACATATAAAGAGAGAGAGAGAGAGAGACAGAGAGCCTCCGGCGCTCCCTTGCGAAACAGGTCGGAGGGTTCCCCACTGCCCAGCAGGCTGGGCCCCTAATTGGGATTGCTGCTCAGGGGGCCTTCCTCAGGAATCTTGTGAGCATCAGGGTTCCCTGGATATCCCCTCAACAACCCTAAGCATGTCCTCTATAATCCAAGGATGTCCTCTACAGTCCTCCAGGATTTCCCGGCGATGTTCTACGGAGCCCTGGGGATTTAGGACCTCCCAAGAGTCCAAAGGCATGCCCTGAGGCACGCCAAGTATGAAGGGGCCCTGGGACACACAAATACATACACACAAATGACAGGATTTCCCCATATGTTCCCATAGATTCTCGGTTTTTGTCTTCCCCCCCACTTCCCATATTTTCCCATATTTTCTGGGAATCGACGATTAATTGTGTCTGTGTGTGTGTTTGTTCCCTCCTGAAAGTATTTCATCCCCCAAGACTCCACGCGAATCCGCAGGCTCTCCCCGCCCGCAGGCTTCCCCATCCGGACCTTCCCTGGAAGGGTGGGGGCATCCTACGGAGAGTCCTACCGGCACTCCTTTTTGGGGGAATCCCGAGGGCTCCACGTGACATCTCCCGCGGACCCTCGGGATTCCCTGCGGAGTCCCCACGGGTTCCCCATGGGATTCCGAGGACGCGACGCCCGGCAGGAGGAGGAGGCCCTCGGACCCCTCTCGCGCAGCGCCCCGTCGCGCGGCGAGGCGCCACCAGCCAGACTCCAACGCGCGGAGCGGCGCCGCAGCAGGCGCCAGCTGCCCCCGCTTGCGCCGCGAGGGGCCACCCCCGTCGCGGGGCGAGGCCCCCACCAGCCAGCCGCGGGGCCAGGCCCCAGCGGACGCGGCGCGCGACTCTGCGACTCTCTCTCCCCCCCCCCCCCCCCCCTCTTGGAAGGGGGCTGCGAGGGAGCAGAGGCGAGGATGGAAGCACCACCAGCCTGCTGGGCGCAGGTAGTTTGGCGATTTACTGAGTCCAACCTCCTTCTGCACCTTCGGGAAAAGGGTCACTTTTCACCCCTACGCCCTCTC